GAGGAGGAGGAGGAGGAGGAGGAGGAGGAGGAGGAGGAGGAGGAGGAGGAGGAGAAGGGGGGGAGGAGGAGGAGGAGGGGTATGTTCGGCCTTTGGAGGCCCTCGCCAAGCCTCGGGGCCGTTAAAAATGACTCGGGGTGAGAAACTGGTCCCGGCGCTATGGAAATTTAGTCGGGGTGAAAATTCGGTCGAAACCTCTGTGGATCGACGTTACGAGAAAGATCATGACGCCGGGGGTCTGGGGCCGAGTCTGGGTGCCGTCATCCGCTAGAGGACGCCGCAGTGCCCACCAGTACTGGTCCTGGCTGGGCTCATCCTGGGCCCAATCGCATGTGGGCGGACCCTCAAAGGCGCGCTCTGCGACTTCGCCCGCTTTTTGCGGCACCTGGGACCCTCACAGGTCGATCCCACTCGAGAAATGGCGCAGAAAGATCTTGGGCTCTGGTCGTGTCACTGCGCCGACCTTGCAGACGTGCTGCAGCGGATTGTTGCGTGGATCTATGTCAATGCAAACCCCCGACGTGGCGAACAACGATGTGAATTTCACATGGTTTTTTTATAGTACCCGTTCCTGGTCTAAAGAACCCCTCGCGAACTTCACTTTGAAATGCGGAACGGAACTCTCCAGGACAATCCAGGCCCATCCCATGGCTTTCAACAAGAAGTCCACTTTGCGATGTTGCCGCCACAAGTCGTGACTTCTGCGGTGTTGCAGTTTTTCCGCAACGTCGGGCCTCAGGGGGTACGAGCCACTGGCCCAGCCAGGAGGGCGCGTGCGCGGCAGGCACGCGCGAGGCGCGCACCGCAGGCGCGCGTACACGACGCAGCAGGCGCGCTACACGTCAAGCGATGCGACGCGGGGATCTATCCGTATCCACCGCCTGGGAACCGACGTCCTGGTGCCCCAGTGGGCGGTGGCTATGGGCTATGGACATGTTTGGCCCCCAGGGGCCCGACTGTTTTCACATTCGCCGCCTGACGATGCCCCCGAACATTGATCCTTCAGGCGGTGGTCATGGAATGTCAGTTTGTGGTTGGCAACATCAAGCGGGGCGTGTGCTTCAAGCAAATGGTTGCCCTGCTCGTGCGAATCGCGGGGGGGAGGGGCGCCCGCCAAATTGAAACATACGGCGGCGGCGCCAATGATTAGCGCCGACGCCCGGCCGCCCCCGAGAAGGCGACAGGTGCAGCACGGACTGGGGGAGGGGGGGGGGGCGGGAGGCAAGGGCGCCCTCCTCGTCCTCGTCCTCGTCCTCGTCCTCGTCCCCGTCCTCGTCCGTCCTCGTCCTCGTCCTCGTCCTCGTCCTCCTCCTCCTCCTCCTCCTCCTCCTCCTCCTCCTCCTCCAGCTCCTCCTCGTCGTTCACGCCGTTGCCATCATCCGCGGCGCGGTGGTCCCCCGAGCTCTCCGAGCCCTGGCGCGCGTGATTCTTAACAAAAATGCTCCGCGCCCCGCGGGGTCTATTGGCGGCGTGCACAAGGGGGGAGGGGGAGGGAAGAACGCTCTGAGAAGGAGGCTGCTTCTCAGAAGGCGCCTTCTAAGAAGCAGGGGTGCTTCTACGAAGCCTTCCCCCTCCCTCCATCCCCCTGTACGCGCGGCCAATTCTATTCATCAGCCCCGGGGTGGGCATCACAAGCTGACATTCTAAGTTCCCGCCTCGCAAGCAAGGGCCACGAACACCTTGTTCCGCCGATCGCGACCCTTCCTCGGGGTGCCCAGCTGTGGGGCACCCTGGGGCCCTCCAGTGGGGGGCTGAGGCGTTTTTGCGGGGGGCGCCTGCTGCAAGGCTTGCTTTCTCGCTTGAGATGTGCCTGCCGAGCGCCGGCCCTGCGACATCGGCTCGCCTGGGGAAGCTGCAGCCGTGGGTCGAGTCACTCCCCAGCCCTCGCCTCCCCAGATAGACTCTGCAACGTCCTGGTTTCTGGGGGCCGGAGTGGCCTCAGGGCAAGCCCGACCTGGCCAGGATCGCGGTGCGGGCGGACTCGGCGGCGTCCCCCGCATTCGCGCGAACGGTCACGCAGCGGCCTCGGCGGGGCCGCGGGGCGTCCGGCTGGCCCTGCCTTCGGGCGTTCTGAGCGGCTTCGGCGGTGGGCGCGGGGGAGTCCTGGAGTGCGGGGCGGGGATGACGGGAGGGGTGGCGTGGGAGGTAACCGAGGTCTCCGAAGATCCGTCGTTCTCACTCCCAGCGTTTCTTTTCGACCTTGGCGTCCTGGGGCCATCAATGATGGATCTGAGACGGCGAGAAATTACCCCGTGGCTCCCTGGGACGGGGTCGCAAGAGCACAGCGAGGGAGGCGATGAGGAATTAGCAGGGGTGAGGTGGAAGGGAGGAGGAGGAGGAAGAGGAGGAGG